CCACAAAACACTCCAGATGGTTCTCATTAAAATTCCAGCTCCTGCCTTCCCATTCTTCCCGCACTGCTATCTCAAAAATCAACACCAGGTGGAGAGCGGAGGGGTGCCGGGCTGCCAGGCCAGTGCAGGCACTCTGCAGGACCCCAGCTGCAGGGCCCAGGGTGCTCCCGACTCCTCTTCCTACCGGTAGCCACCCAGCCTTTTGAGGGGCCCCCAGAGTGGCAGCCGGAGGCACCCTCTGTCTGCACTGGTGCCAGCGAGAGTTTGAACACACCTGGGTGCCTTTGGCCCTGGGCCCCCGCATGTCTGCAGGAATGGGGGAGGCCTTGTCCTAGTGTTGTCTGCCCGAGACAGGGCACACTGTGGCCTCTGCTTGCTGGTAGATGTTGGGATGGAGGCAGCAGAGAGGCCACTGACACTGCCCTGTCCTAGCTACAGCTGCGCAGGCCGCAGGCTTCGCTCCCACATCTGTGCAGATAAAGGACGTGCGTGTCCGAGGATGTGCATGTATGTGTTTTTATTTCCACTTTTAAATGAGGGATTTTTGGAAGAGTTCATGGAGGGGCAAGCTCTGGGCCCAGTGACTGAGATGCTGCCCAGGAACCGAGCAGCTGCTGGAGTGCTGGGGTTTGAGTCCGGGCCTGGCTTCCCACCAGCATCCTGCCAAGGTACTCTGCAAGGTGGCAGGCGATGACTCACATGGTTGCTGCTCCAGGGGAGACCTGTACTGGGATCCCCCGCTGCTGGCCCAGCCCCAGCTGTTGTAGGCATTCAGAAAATGAACCAGTAAAAGGAAAGATTACTGTTAGCAACATCTCTGCTTTTAACACTAGAAGGAAGTTCATGGAAACGTATATTACCAAAAAAAAAAAAAAAAAAAATCTATGCACATAGTTTTACTCCAAAATAAAGACTTCTCTCGTTTAAGGCTGGGAAGAGGTGAAGCGGGGAGGGTCAGGGATCTCCTGGCCTGCACCCAGCCTGAGAGCAGGGGCTTGGAAGGCAGGAGTGGTCGTGATGAGGCCACGGAAGGCCCTCTCCAAGCAGGCTGAGCTGGGGGAGGCCGAGCGAGCTCTCAGTCCATGAGACTGAACACAACTGCGCCCAGCAGAGGCCACGGCCGACTGCCACCTTGCTTGGCAGCTGGGGAGGACACCGTGCTGTGAGCTCCTTGGTGGGGAGCTGGGAGGAGCTCCCCATAGGAGACAGAGGGGAAGAAGTACGGGCAGCAATGCCAAGGGACAGGGGGCAAGAGCAAGGCATGGGTGCAGGAAAACACCTGTGTGCTTGGGGCAATGTGATAAACTGGCCCAATGGGCAAGGCAGGGAGCAGCTGGGAGGGGCGGCTGCACCAGCTTCCCTCACTTCTCTCCAACCACGGGGCTGCTTTCAAATCCTCCCCTCTTGACCTATGCTCCCGTCCCAACTTCCTAGCCAGCCCAGTTCTTGTGCAGTGTGAGCGTGTGTGTGCTGACTCTGTGAGCAGGCTATGTCTGACCTACAAAACCACCTTTTTCACATGGTTCAACCTAATTGAATGAACTAAAAGCAAAAGCCCCAGACAGCAGCCCTCTACCCAGCGAGCAGAATGGATGAACTATCGGCAATAGAACGCATGTCAGTGACGTGGCTTTGCGTGCCTTCTCTCCGGCAGAGGCCCTGTCCTGGGACAGCTGTTTAGCTGGGCCGGGGGCTGAGGGCTTGACAGCCAGTCAGCCGAGAGCCTGGGGAAACTCAGCCAAGGACAAGTGCTGGGATTAGGTGACCTGGCCCTCCATCCTCTGTCTTTGGAACCTGCCTTGCTGTACTTTCTGCTTCTCCCCTCGACTCCGTGACACCATCCAGGCCTGCCCTTGACTCCGTGACACCATCCAGGCCTGCCCTTGACTCCATGACACCATCCAGGCCTGCCCTTGACTCCATGACACCATCCAGGCCTGCCCTTGACTCCATGACACCATCCAGGCCTGCCCTTGACTCCGTGACACCATCCAGGCCTGCCCTTGACTCCGTGACACCATCCAGGCCTACCCTTGACTCCGTGACACCATCCAGGCCTGCCCTTGACTCCGTGACACCATGCTGAGGTCTTGGCCATACCTTCAGGTGGCAGCACCAGCATTACCCACCCATCTCCTAACTGGTTAGGAGACCACCAACGTGGAACATCTCATCTCAACAAGGAGGGGTCAGGGAATGCTTAAAATCCCAAGACCCTTCCTGGAACCTTTGGTGTCTCTCTCCCTCCTCTTTCGAGAGGCGCCCCACCTCCTGGCCTCCCCCTTCCCGCTCCCTGCCCTGCTCACCTGGTCCCTTCGCAAATCCACTTTTCTGTCTACAACAGATTCCCAGCGTTTTACTTCTATAATAAGCTGAGGAACAAACCCACTGGGCTTTTCTATAACACACGGTGAGGGAGGTTAGCTTGCAAGAGGCAAAAATGAGAGGGGTCCATGGGAGTGCCAGTAACTGCAGCGGAGCTTTGCGGGCGGACCCCCACCATCAGGACACACAGCAAGCCTGGAAGCTTCTGCCCCAGCATGGCGCCTGCTGCCATGCCTGACTGCTTTTCTGTCACCCAATGCTCACAGGGCCCTGAACCCTCTCTCCTGAAGAGGGCATTTACTGAGTTGGAGAGGTCTCCGTGTAGTGAGGAACCCTGCCCCTCAAGGGCCAGCCCCATCCTTTACAGGGGCCCCGGGGCAAGCCCCATGCTAAAAACAATAAATAAAAAAGACAATCCGGGGCTTTAAGGCCGCAGCCACAGGGGTGCTCGTAGCCAATGCAGGCCGAGTGAGTACAGGGCCACTGAGTACCACTGCACGGGAGGCACAGCTGGGAAGCTGGGCCAGGTAAAGGCTATGACGGCCACTCCAGAGCCCACCCGGGCTGCCGCTTCCCAGGGAACTCAGCGGCTGGGCAACGGAGAGCAGGGCCAACCCACACACGGGCTCTGCCAGAAACAGGCCTGGGGGGCTGCTCTAGGAATATGCCCGGTGTCGCAATGACTTCCACAAGGCCCAGAAAGCAGTGAGCAGGAAGAGCCCCGAGCCGTGGATGGGTTGGGGAGGTCGCAGGTGGGCAACTTTCCTAATTTTGCACATGCTCTTCCATGGTCCAAGTTGTCAGGTGCCCTCACCTCCCTGGACTGCCCCCTACAAGCAGAGGTGACAGCGCTCAGCAGGCTAGAACCCGCAGGCTGTGCTTTCCTCACAGAACCCTCTACCCAGGCCTCTGGACGACTAGCCGTGCAGACTCAGTTTCAACCAAAAGATCCCATTTACTCAGGGTTTCATTTCACAGAGTCCTAAGACAGAGCAGCCTGGGAGCCGAACCTTCTAGCAGCAGCAGAGCGCCCCCTGTGGGGCCTACATTGCATGAACACGAAACCATCCCGTTTGGGGTCCATCAGTGACCACGTTTCTCACGGCAGCAAAGTGACAAGCTTTCTAACAGGTTGAGGATTTTTTTTATTTGTTTGCTTGTTTGTTTGATGACTCTCTGATTTCTAATAAAAGTTATTTCAGTTCTTTGTCTCAATGATAGAAAGTAGGCCGACATTCAGAAGGCCCTGGGTGTTTGGACAGCATTTTCTTCCCTTTTCAGGACGGGGTGGGAAAAGCTCTTGTATGTCCCGGAGCTGAATGCCTCCGACACCCCACGGCACAGCGAGACCGAGACGAGCAGGCGCCTCTAGCGACGTGCACTCCTCTGGAAAAGCTCTGCTTGCTCTTGGCATACATTTTCTTCCCTAAACATCCCAATTCCTTTCTCTACTTTCTTTGGTTTCATAAGGCACTGGTGCCTTGGGGCTCTACTGTGGGGATCAGTGACTTCTAGGGAGGACCACAGCCTTGGCACCAGCATCCCATAAGGGCGTGAGTTTGAGTCCCAGCTGCTCCACTTCCCATCCAGCTCGTGGCCTGGGAGAGCAGTGGAGGATGTTAGGGGCCCTGCACGGAGGCCCTGGGAGAAGCTCCAGGCCCCTGGCTTCAGGCCAGCTCCGCTCTTCCTTCCGTCTCTGCTGGTACGTGACTCTGCTTGAAACCTTAAAATCTCATTCGTGTTGAACTTCTGGGAAAGAGAAAGGGTGGGGAGGAGGGGCCGCGCAGAGACAACGCCAAGAGGTGAATACACGCGGCTGTGCTTTGTATGGGTTCTGCAACACAAGCTGAACTAAACTGATTCCATGGTGCTCTGGTGGCATCCGCAAGTGCTGAGAGATGCAGACAAGCCATCGTCAGCTGAGGCTGGTGCCGGGCTCGAACCAGCAGCACCAAAGGAGGCCACGGGGCAGGAGACGGGTCTGGAGCTGGTGTGGCAGTGCTGCAGTGAGGCACCCAGTGAGTGGATGGGTGTGGCCGCAGCAGCTGAAGGCCCCGTGTCCTCGGTGCTCCAAGTGGGGAAGCTGGCAGCTGTCCTCACGACTGGCCACCTTTGCTTACTGACCTTTACTGGAAAGTCAGATTTACAGAGTGAGGGAGAGAGAGGATCTTTCATCTGCAGGTTCACTCCCCAGGGCTGCAGTGGCCGGAGCTGAGTCGGGAGCCAGGAGCTTCTTCCGGGTGTTGCCTGTGGCTGCAGGGTCCCGAGGCTTGGGGCCATCCTCTGCTTTCCCAGGCCACAGGCAGGAGCTGGATGGGAAGTGGGGCTGCCGGGACATGAACCAGCACCCACATGGGATCCCAGCACTTGAAAAGTGAGCATTTAGCCACTGAGCCATCGTGCCAGCCCAGCTTCCTCCTGCCTTGCTTTCTGTGTTTGCTAAGATCAAGCACAGTAAGTGCCTGGGAAATGTTAGAGTAAAGAGGTCAAGGTTTAACCAATTGCATTCAAGCACAGGCGAGCGCAATAAAGCTTTAGGCCCGAGATGACTATCCTGCATTCCTGAGACGGTTCACATGTCCTGGTGAGCTCTGCGCTTCACTGCGCAAGCCAAGGCCGTGCAGGTTTCGGAGTGCTGACGCAGCACGGATTGGAATGAGGAAACGGAGAGAAAATGCTTAGCATGCATGTATTGTTTAAAAAAACAAAAAGCCGGCAGGGGGAGAGAGGGTGGCGTGCGGAGCGTCAGTTTCCGACAGGGGGGACGTTCTCGTGCAGGTACTGCAAGGCCAGGTCCGTCCACTTCATCTCCTGCTCTCTGACGGACTCGGTGGTGCCGCCGTTGTCCTGCTCGGGCTCAGGAAGCTCATTCTGCAAAGGCACAGTGGGCAGGCAGGGCGCTCAGACCTTCTGCGCTCAGGTTCTTTCAGAAAGCCAATGGAAGTGTCATTCAATCTGACAGGCGGGGTTGGGGAGCAGGGCAGGGAGGAGGCAGAGGGCGAGCCCGTCCGCTGGTCACGCCCCAAATACTCGAACAAGAAAGGGGCCTGGCCGCGCAAGGCATCCAGCCAGGGTCCAGCTCCCCAGTCCCTCCCCTCTGCCTTCCCAGGGAGCACAGCTGAGCCTCGAGGCAGGCACTCCAGTAAGAGATGCAGGCACCCAGAATGGCAACGCCCACCTGCCAGGCCCAATGCCTGCCCGGGCGCTGACTTCTCAACCCTGAAGAGCATGCTGAATGAAAAGCCACAAGGGCCAAGGCAGAGGCAGCTGTTCTGTGTATCCTAAAGCAGGTGTCAGACGTGAGGACCCTCGCAGATGCGTGCACGGCCCAGCCCCTCTGGGAGCCCTGTGGGCACAGCGCCAGGCACTGTGGCGGAAGGGCAGAGGACACAGATATTTGGACACCAACCATGCCTGCCACTATACCCTTTGCTGGGTGACCTGGGCAGAGCATTTAAAGGTCTCAGGCATCTGTCCCCTGTGGCCACCTCACAGGATGAAATGACGCTGAGCCCAGCAACACGCCAGGCCCCCTGGCCCCTATCTGCCTAGGAACACCATAAGGAACCAACACTAAACTTTTTTTTCTTTCTTAGAAAATGCCCTTTAAAATACCAGCTTTGCTGGCATGCTTCTTAGGCACATGAAGTGTATTCAGGGTCAGACGCCGTGGCACAGGAAGTTGAGTTTGGGACTCCAGCATCCGATACAAGACTGGCCAGACTGAACCCCACCCCCGCTCTGGCTTCCTGTCACTGCATCTGGGAGCCCGCAGGTGACGGTCCAAACAGCTGGGCTCCTGCCTCGCTCGGCAGACCAGGACGGAGTTTTTGACTTCCTCTGGCTTTGACCTGGCTGTTGTGGGCACTCAGGCAGTGGATCAGCAGATGGAAGACCTCTTTCTCCGTCTGCTCTGCCCTTCACATATAGAAATAAATAAATCTCATAAAAAAAGGGGGCCTGGCATGGTAGCCCAGGGGCTAAAGTCCCTGCCTTGCATACTCCAGAATCCCATATGGGTACCAGTTCTAATCCTGGCACTCCACTTCCCATCCAGCACCCTGCCTGTGGCCTGGGAAAGCAGTTGAGGACGGCCCAAAGCCTTGGGTCCCTGCACCCGCGTGGGAGACCCGGAAGAGGCTCCTGGTTCCTGGCTCCTGGCTCCTGATCGGCTCAGCTCTGGCTGTTGCAGCCACTTGGGGAGTGAACCAGCAGATGTAAGATCTTCCTCTCTCTCTCCTCCTTTCTGAAATCTTTCTAATAAAAATAAATAAATCTTTAGAGGTCTCCTTAAGCTGTTCTGCATCCAGTAGGCCAAAATTAGAATCACGAGGTGTGTGTGCAGGGCAGAGTGGAAGAACTTAAGATGTGCAAGACCCCCCTCTAGTGGAGAGCAGCAGCAGCAGCAGCATTTTCTGGGCCACACAGTGTTGAATCCGGGATTACTTGCTTACATGTAAACTTAAGCTGTTAGCACAAAATCTCTCTTCTGTGCCAGAGTTCACTGACAGTCACCTGTTGTGTTGCAATGACCAAATTTACTTGTGATTTCCTACTGGTTTCCAATTTGCAATAAACATACGGGTATGTTTTCTGATTATGTTCAATGAAACATTAGTGTACAAATAGAATCGCACTTCAGATTGTATAAACGCATTTGGAGCACATACATCTTGCTGTATAAATATAAGCTCAAGATTCAAGTACACAGATTGGGAAAGAGCTATTATCATAAAGCAGTAACAGAAGCTTTAAATAAAAAACAAAAAACAAACTGGTCCTAAGAATTACTTATAGGTGACAATAAACGCAGAAGTTCCTCGGGAATGAACTGTTTCATGCAGAGGAAGGTAGCTTGGCCTCATCCCTTCCCTCGGGTGGAGTGCCTGGCACATTATGGTGCCCGCAAAGCACAAAAACAATCGAGACCTCTGGTGCAGTGGTGGGCACCCAGCTCGGGACGCCCGAATCCCGTGCAGGTGCCCCGCGGAGGCTCGGTTCCCTGCCTCCAATCCGCTTCCTGCTCACGGCAGCCGCTGGTGGGCCAGGTACTTGGGCCCTGCTGGCCCCGTGGGAGATGTGCTCTGAATTCCAGATTCCTGCCGGCTGTGGACACTTGGGGAGTGAATCAGCAGATGCAAGCTCTGTCTCTTTCAAATAAAGTAAGACTAAATGTGAAAGAACAAAAGCCCACTGAGGCACAGTCTGGGGTTGGCTGCAGCCATCTGCAGCTGCTCCTGCTCAAAGCTAGGGAGTGAGAGGTGAATGACTGGCCAGCACAGAGCAGCTGGGAGCATGTGGGCCAGCTGCCGGCCACAGCGCCACAAGGACACCCTGAATGCCCGAGACTGAGAGGTCAGGGCTGGCCTGTTGGGTCAGCAGAGGCCACGACCCTGTGACCCCGGGCTGCAGCCAGGCCGTTGGTCAACTGCTTAACGCAAGCAGGCCTAGCGGGGCCAGCTGAGCACACCCTGCCAGCCCAGAACTTCCAGGTGAGCCACACACGCATGCAATGACAGGTGCTGTTCTAAGGCCCCACGGTCCCAAGGGATCTGCTACGCAGCAAAGCTGACTGACACGTAAGCTGTCTTGGAATTACAAGACGGCAGAATCAGGCTGCCAGCTGCCGGGCAGCAGGGACACTGCCTCTCCCCCGGTCCCTCCACGAGCACCCCTTCTCTTACTGGGTGGCTTGAAGGGTTACAGATAAAGTGTGTCTTCAACCTTAGTCAAGGCACTGAACTGGTCTTCAATAAGCAGTGCTTCCATTATTACTCTTGTTGGAAAAGCACATTTATAGAGCGAAGGAGAGACAAAGATTTTCCATCTGCTGGTTCACTCCCCACACGTCTGCACTCACCTGGTGAAGTTGACCCAAAGCCAGGAGCCAGGAGTCTCCTCCGTGCGCTGCAGGGTTGCAAGATCTGGCCTATCCTCACTGCTTTCCCAGGCCATAAGCAGGGAGCTGGATGGGAAGCGCAGTAGCCAGGACCCCAACTAGTGCCCATAGGGGGTGTCAGTGCTTGCGGGCAGAGGATTAGCTAACTGAGCCATCACAATAGCGTCCTATACTAAATCAAAATGGGAGTGAGCTGTTTTCTGTTTCTGAAATTGGCAGCAACAGGCCAACAACCTCTAACTTTATATGTCGCTCTTCTCATGTTTTAAACACAAACGGTCCCCAAGCCCTGCTTGTCCTTGTGCCTTGTCAGGCCTCTGAAATACATCACTGACAGACAGCTACATACTCAAAACCTCCCGGTCACTTTGTCACACAGGGCTTCTTAAGAGTCTGTTAAAGATGGAGATAGAAAAGGCAGCCCTGGAGCCTACTGTCCCAGCCGCTGCAGAGGAAGAACCGGGCACCCTGCGACTATGCCCCAGGGCACCCAGTGTGTGTCCACAGCCGCCAGCACCTGCCAAGGTCCAGCTGAGGAAGCCACAGATACAGCTCCCTCCCCTGGCTTATGGGCTTTCACCATCTGGTCGACTGCCGGCTATGGTATGTCGGGTGGGACCTGGCTCCCCAGGTTGGCATTCCAAGCCCTGGTGAGACCCCAGCCATGCCGGCCATGCCTGCTCTCTCACACTGCTCAGCAAACACCAAGCAGGGCTGAGAAGCTGCCAGGTTTCCCAAGCTGGACAACGCCGCCGCCTGGGTTTCTCTGCCTTCCAGGGGCGGCGTCCCGGGACACCCCCTGCCCCGTTCTGGCTGTCACTCACCAGGGGTATGGTGACATCCTCGTACGGCAGCTTGTCCTCCCGCCAGGCGTCGTCGATCAAGTCCAGGATCCTTCCGTCTCGCTGCACTTCGCTGTCCATCGTCGTGCAGCGCTGCTGCTGTCAGACCTGCGCGTCACAGAGGTTACTCCTGGGGTGTGAGGAGCGAAGGTGGCGAGGCCTTCGGTATCCCAGTCCCCGAGGCTCTGGGAAGGTGGGGCAGGCTGGTCCAGTAGTGATCAGGTGACAAACTACTTCAAAGGAGGCCCACAGTGCCTCCCAGCTCCCACCTGGTGAGCTGACAAATGCACTAGCGTTTGCTGGATGGCCACAGGCCGGCAGGGAGAAGCGTGTAGGTGAGCCCCTCAGCCATGCGCCCACCCTCCCGCCCATGGGGCCCAGGCAGCCCATCCCCAGGCTCGCGCTCTAGCGCTGAGACAGGTAGATTCGGGGGACACTGAACGGGGCTGTGACCAGGGGCAGGCCAGAGCCTCGAGCCTAGAAACCAGGACCGCAGCCCAGCCCGCAGAGCCGGGCTCCATGGGGAGAACATGGAGGTGACCCAGCACGGGGCCTCCCAGGTCCCCCACCCCACCAGTCTCTTCACCGCCTGGCCCAGTGCCAAGACGCTGACCCGGCCCCTTACCAGGCCTGGTGTTGAATAACTTCAACCGAATGCAGAGGCCTGGCTGGCTGGGGTTCCCTTTGCATGTCGAGGCCCCACTTCGTCGTCACTGGCATGACCCCACTGTGCTCTCTGCTGCCCAGGGGTCCGTCCCTGAGGCCTGGATCCCACGGGACCGATGGCCCATCCAGCTCCTCCCGGCTGAGGGAGACCTGGAAGAGGCTCCAGGCTTCGGATCGGCTCAGCTCTGACCATTGCGGCCACTTAGGGAGTGAACTTGGGCCTCCTCAGGAAACACACACACAAGGTGCCCCTCCCTCCCGCTCCGCCTCTACAGGCAGACCCCTCTCGGTGGCCTGGGATCCCATCTCAGTTGCCCATTTTCTCAGGCCCACGCAGATTCCAGTTTTGTTTGTTTCAAATAAAGTCTTCAGTTGAGTTTCTGTCTTCAAATGCTTGCTTCCGCGCCAACTGCACCCTCTCAGCTCAGGCGGGGTCAGCTCTGCCACCCGATGCTCAGACAGGACCGCCTCGGACTGTGGCGTGGACATCGGGTACCAAGGAGTCCTCCAATCCCGTCACACGCTCCGCTTCTGTGAAGCCCCTCTCTGTCCGCCCGGGCCTAGACCGCATCGGGCCCGCGTTTCTTCCCCTTAGCTGGCCCTTTCGGATCCTGCTTCGCCGATCCCAAGTCGACCCCTTACTACAGGCTGACCCGTGGCTTTGGGCTGCCCCGGCACACGCCCAGATCTCAGAATTCAACGCCGGCCTCCACAGTCAACAAGACCGGGAGCATTCAGAGGAACCCAGCCCCAACCGACCCACCCGAGCCCACTGAGCCAGTAGGGCGTCCCCGGGGCCCGGCCGCCATGGGGCACCTGCGGGCTGGGGCTTCCCTCCCAATGGCCCAACATCCTTCATGCCTGGAGCGGTCTGGGAACTGAGCAGAATCAACCCAGGGCGCCTTCCACCATGCCAGGGGTTCGGGGCCCGGCTTGGTGCGCGTGAGGCGAGCCCACGCAGCTCTTTCACGGGGGATTCCACACCATCTGCACTTAAACGCCCCTTTCGCCATCACTAACACCAATTCTCAACTCGGCGCAGGCGTGTAAGCTCTTCTAGGTCAATAACCCCATTTCCACGGTGCAATGCCTTTGCCTCTCCCTCACGGGCGAGAAGAGCGGGGAACCTTCAAGACGGGCACTGCACGGGCCACGGCCACTCAGCCCCCGCAAGCACCTGCCAAGGTCTAGTTTTCCTTCACTTTGTTTTCTCAGCTAACTCACAGCCCTAGCTAAGGCTAAGAACGACCCTCGCAGGCCACCATCTACCGGATGCACGAAGCCGCACCGCTCCGCGACTTCCGCCCCGAGACGAGAAGATACCAAGTTCGGAGCGCAGAGGGGGACGCCTGCGAGCGCCACGTCAGTCCCTTCCCACCCTCCGCCCCGTGCGCGTCAAGAAACGACGCCGAGGGCGACGTGAGGCATCAGTATCTGCCTCGGCCGCCACGCGCAGGCCGACGAGCGACGGCACCGAGCGAACCGGACCGCACTGCGTCCGAACCGGGGCGACAGACGCACGACTCCCTTACCCGCAGCCGGCCCTCCCTCGGCGGCGTCGCGCTCCCCGGGATCCCCGGATGTGGGCGGGCCCATCCGTGCTCGTGGAGGGGGAGCCCGTGAGCGGACGTCAGGCGGCGTGCGCGCGCCCGGCCCCAGGTAACGCCGGGAAGGCCGTCGGGGACGCGCTCGCGGCCGTGTAACCGCTGCCGCGTCGGGGCCGGCCCGGGGCGGGCGTGTCCGGAGGCCCTGGCCGACCTGGTGCCGCCCTCCGCGCGGCCGCCGCAGGGCCCGGCACCGCCGTCCGCAGCAGCCCCGCAGCCCGCAGGCCCGGCCCCGCAGGCCCGGCTCCGCGCCGCCCGCGCCATGTGGCCCCGCGGAGGAGGCCCCGGCCCGGTCCGCTGCGGCGGGCGGCCCGCTTCGGAGGTCAGCCCCGTCCCCGCAGGCCGGCGGGAGGTCGGGGAGCGGCCGCCGCGGTTCCCCTTGAGGGAGAAGCAAAGGCGCCGGGTCGGGGCGGTGGGGCGGCAGTCACACCTGGGCCGCGAACGTTCTGGAAGGCCCTAGGAGGTCTTTGAAAGGGCAGAGAGGGCTGATGCCGGCGGACGGTGGCGGCGCGCCACGCCTGCTGGAAACGCCCAGTGTCCCCAGAACCCTGTGATCCCATGGGGGAGACGTAATTCCTCCCAGACGCCCCCGGAGCAACGCCCGAGACCCCCGTTATCCTGGGCTAGCTTGGTGGTCTTGGAGGACGGTGCCCTGGTTAGGCCCCCTCCCCAACACCACCTACGCCCCAGTCCAGGTTGATGGCAGGAATGGCTTCAGTCGGTTGTACCGGCCTGCTGTCATCTGTGCGGTCCGCTCTGTCTCTGGCCTTGAGATGCAGCTCACGCCAGGGTGAGGCCTTGCACTTCTAATCTTTATGCCACCCCTCCCTTCCTGCCCCAAGAGCCAGGTTGTCGATCCCCGCTGCCCACAGGGTGAACAAGGCTGCAGGACCCTCGGCTTGCCCTTAGAAGTCAAGGTTGCCAAGCAGCCCTTGGGGCTCCGGACGCTCAGCTGCCTCGTGACCTCACACAGAGGTCTAGTGCTGTGTTTGGTTGTTAGACCTTGAAATCTCACCCAAGACACCTCTTTATTGCTTACCAATTCTGTGTGTGCATGGCGTTGTGTGCTTGCACAAAGCCAGGTGACACTGCACAGCCGCCCGAAGCTGTTTATGCTCCTTAAAAGCAATAGCCGCGTTAGGAGGTGGTTAGCAGCTACAAGCTGTCCTGTGGTTGCAGTTTGAACATTGTAGCATTTCCTATTGCATTAGCAGGAAGTTCTGTGCTGTGACAGCTGTGGCCACAAGGTTGCTTTCACGGTCAAGTGCCCCAGAAGCCTGTCTCAAGGGGCAGATCCCGGGTAGCCGTTATTGCAATTAGGAGGTTACAAAGTGGTGGTCTTTCTAATCTCACCATTCCTTCAGTATTAGCTGGGGATCTTGTATGGAAAAAGAACTTCCCCTCATTAGCCGTTTGACTACCCCAAAATTGAGTTTATACAGGACAGTCCAAAAAATGCTTAATTCTTTCCCTCTATTTTCAGAATACAGTAATGAGTTCGTGGCCTAGCAACCTCCGAAGGTAACCATGAGGGTTTCTGCCTTTTTCAAAAGTTATCATCATGAGCTGAACAGGCTTGTGTCTATTTTAACTGTCTGGGCCTATTGTAACCATTATTTCTTAAGTTGGCTCTTAACTGCATTTGAGCCGGCCAATGGTTTTAATAGTTCTGGCCTCCAGAGAGCCTTGTCCCTTTGGTCGGAGATGGTGTTTGGAGCCGTTCCGGGGCTCCGCAGTGGCCACAGTGGACACACCGGTTTTTATGGTGAAGGAAGTTTGCATTTCTATAGTGAGGTGCTCATTTTTCTTTGGGTGATTTTTTCATAAGTTTTAATAGACGCTTCTAAGTAATTAACGCATTGCTATTAGGCTTTCAAATGAGCCTTTTGCTTTTCTGTTTATTTTGCTCTTGGTGTTTTCTTTCCATGTTTTCTTTCTTGTGTTCATGATTTGTAGTCCTTCCTGGATCTTGAGTCATAATTTGAAAGTGGGTTTTTGTTTGTTTTCGTTTTTTGTTTTTTAATACTACTTCATTTTTATTTGGAGAACTGGTCTGCTGATCTCCCCTGAGAGCAGAGCTGGTCTAAAGCCAGGAGCTTCTTCTGGGTGCCTGGGGCGGGTGCAGGGTCCCAAGCTTTGGGTCATCCTCGACTGCTTTCCCAGGCCACAGGCAGGGAGCTGGATGGGAAGCGGGGCTGCTGGGACACAAACCGGCGCCCATATGGGATCCCAGTGTTTACAGAACGATGATTTCGCCATGGAGCCATAGTGCCGGCGTCTGTTCTGGTTATTAAATTCCAGCATATTCCATTTTGAAGATCTGCCTCCAGCATCTGCATGTCTCTTTTCTCCCCCATGAGAGTGAAAAAGTGTTTTTCTTGCTCCTTAGTTTTTTCTTTTAAGATTTATTTATCTTGGGCCCGGTGCGGTGGCGCAAGTGGTTAAGCTCCTCGCCTTGCACGCCTGGGATCCCATATGGGCGTGCAAGGGAAGCAGCCCCGCTTCCCTTGCAGCTCCCTGCCTGTGGCCCGGGAAAGCAGTCGAGGACGGCCCAAAGCTTTGGGACCCTGCACCCGTGTGGGAGACCCAGAAGAGGCTCCTGGCTTCGGATCGGCATAGCATCGGCTGTTGTGCTCACTTGGGGAGTGAATCATCGGACGGAAGATCTTCCTCTCTGTCTCTCCTCTCTGTATATCCGCCTTTCCAATAAAAAAATAATAAAAATAAATCTTTAAGAAAGGATTAAGAGAAATATGCATATATATATATTTTTTAAAAAAAGATTTATTTATCTGCTTGAAAGAGCTACACAGGCAGGGACTTCTACTTGTCCATTCCCCGGATGGCTGCACCTGCCACAGCTGGGCCTCCCTGGGTCTCCCTTCAGGGTGCAGGGGCCCATGGGCGTGGTCTGTTGATGTCTTGGTGTAACTGCAGGAATAAGTAAGATGACACTAAATGCAGAGCGCCACATTTCCATTTAACCATGTGTGGCAAGGAGCGTGAGATTATCAAATGGGATTTATCATTACAAAGAAAGTGGACTGTTCCTGGCTTACCACCCGCCACAGGCAGTGCAGAAGGTCGGAGTTCAGGTCAGGTTGGCTGAAGAGAGAAATCAGTGCTGTCCGCTGTGCTCTTTACTCCGAAAAGTGCAAGCTGGTGGTGGGTTTGGTGGCTGCCCAGGCGGGCGGGAGGGAGCTGCACAGCCGTGGGATTGTTCTCCACGGAGGGTGCTGCTGGTCCCTCCCCGCACCGCAGCTTGCTCAAGCAAGAATCTGGTTCTTGGTGTCCATTTCTGATTGTTTGCTGTTGGTGGTGCTGCCGCCTGGTGGCCGTGGAGCGTCACGGTGCAGTGCGGCTGTGTCTCTTGTACATACCTGCTGGTGCTGGAGCGTGGAGTGTGGTGAAGCAAGAGGCTGCACACGAGTTGTGGTTTGAGTCCCTCTGCCTTGCCTTGGCCTCAGCGCTGCTCAGCATCCCGTGGTCAGGTTGTTCAGCTCTGCAAGCCCCTTTCCTGTGCTTTCTTGGGTGTTGTGAAGATTGAACTGGGCGATGTGTACAGACGTGGAAGTGGAGCATTAAGTGACTTAATTTGTGTTGTAAAGATTGTTAATTATTGGGTATCATCCTGAAAATCCGTTGAGGTGTTATCTATCATTGATACATTAATGCTTATGATATGCATGACCTGGAGAAGTGGCTCTGAGCGACTGCCAGCACACTGTCCTGCAGCACTTTGCGCCCGCTTGGGCCGATGCTGCTGCCTGGGGACACTTACTGTCGTGTGCGCGGACGATGTGAGCTCTGACCGTGTCGTGAGTCTGGTGTGAGCTCTGACCGTGTTGTGTGTGAGCTCTGACTGTGTCATGAGTCGGAATGGGGTGAGTTCTGCAGTTCTTTCCAGTTCTGGAATGGACCGAGACAAGGGATTCTGTTATGCTCTGTGGTGCTGTTTGAAGGAAATTGGGGAAGCTCGTGGGATTCTTTCCTGGGATCCCTCTGCGTAACCCTGGCATACCGTGGAGGCTGTCTCTGCATGGTAGTTGATCCTCAGCTGGATCAGCACCTGGGGCATTCAGGTGTCACCACAAGGACCATCAGAGGCAGCATTTTTGCCTGATTTTCTTCTGTCCCATGCTGGCCTATTAGTAAAAAGGCTATGTTGTGTTAGTTTATACAGTGGCCTGTGTGCTGAGTAAAGGAATCTACTTCCCAAAGCAGTCGAATGTTTAAATGAGACAGAGCTTCCGGGTAGCAGCTGTGTTCAGTCAAGCCTTTGCCATCCTAGGGTAAGGAGCACTTTTTCTGGAGTGGCCTGAGGTTGGTGTCCGTTCTGAAGAGGAAGGGGAAACGGCTTATGCCACTTGGGAACTTGGAATTTTAGGGTCCTTCCCTCACATCTGCCTTCTGTCCTTTTCATGACACTTGGGCTTCCTCCCCTTCTCCAGCCTGCTGTGTTGTCCAGCTATGAGCAGCTCACATGGGGAAGGGGTCTGGATGGGGGTATGTTCAGCCACCAGCTGGGCTGATTGCTGCCCTGAGGGCAAGGTAGACTAGAAGCAGGACTTGTGGAAAAGGCTGTTCCAGGGCAGTGTGCCTGCTGCAGTGCCCTGCTAAGGACCAGGGCAGTGTGCCTGCTGCAGCGCCCTGCTAAGGACCAGGGCAGTGTGCCTCGTGC